ATAAACAAGAATTATCAAAAAGAATGATGCCAAAAATAAGAAAATACTGGTAGGAGAGTTACTGTAAACTGGGTGATCAGAGAAGTCCTCTAAAAATATTTGAGTGATATATGAATGGCAAGAAGGAGACTGCAATTAGAAAATCTAAGGGAAGAGTATTTTTTAGATATCTCCATTTTATTTATTTTTATCACTTACATACAATAAAGTGCATAAATCTAAATTTATAACACATAAATCTTTGAGTATACAACACAAAAAAATTACATATATCTATAGCCAGATTAAACCATTCAGGTCAAAATATGGAATTTTTGTAGTGCTCTCAAGAAAGTAGGTATAGAGGGAATGTACCTCAGCATAATAAAGTCCATATATGACAAGCCTACAGTTAACATCTAAAATAAAAAATCCAAGTTCATAGATACAGAGAACATATTGGTGGTTGCCAGAGGTGAGGGGTGGGCAAAATCAGTGAAGGGAATAAAAAGGTACAAATTTCCAGCTATATAGTAAGTCATGGGGATGTAATGTACAGAGTGATGATAGTTAATAATACTGTATTGCATAATAGAAAATTACTAAGAGAATAGATCTTAAAAGTTGTCATAACAAAAAAAATAAAATTCTATAACTAGGTATGGTAACAGATGTTAACTAAACTTACTGTAGTGATCATTTCACAATATATACAACTATCAAATCATTGTGTATGCATCTGGAACTAATAAAATGTTGTATGTCAATTATACCTAAATTTAAAAAAGAAAACTGACAAAGCTAATTTATGGAGATAGAAATCAGAAGAGCAGTTATCTAGGGAGGGGGGTACTCTTGAGAGGGGCCCGGGAAATCTGCCAGAAGAGTATTTTAAAAGGAGGGAAAAGAGCAAACTTGGTGTATTCAAAAATGTAGAACTTTTGTATGATGTATGTAAATTATAAATGCCCCTATCTCTAGTTACATGTGAAATTATCTTCTATCAAGGACCGTATGTGGAGCTCAACATCCCCTCACTTTTATTGAATTCACCTCTACATTGTGTGGAGTTAAAGCATAGTTCCCAGCATACCTCATCCTTATCAACCACCAACTGTTAAGTGCCTTATATGTGAAAGAAAAGCAGCTATTACTGTAGATGGTTTTGAAAATATCTGACATTCTTAATTTTAAATTTTGTAATTTATTAGAGAAAAAGGCAAAAATATATAAAGCATTAATACAAAAATTTAAAAGCAATGTGTGGCAAGAATAAGACATACCTCAAAACAGTATAAGATTAATTACCAAGTAAAATTACCTACATAAACTTTTATTTCTATATTGCCATAAAATCAAGTTTCTTTCTGGTTAAGGGAAAGTGATAATGGATTTTCACTAAATTTGTAGGATAAAATGGTATATTTATTTACATAATGGAACATTACTCGACAGTAAAAAAAAAAAAAAGGATATTATACCTTTTGCAACAGCATGGATGGATCTGAAGTGAAATAAGCCAGTCAGAGAAAGACAAATACCATATGACTTCACTTTCGTGTAAAATCTAATGAACAAAATATACAAACATAGAAACAGACTCATAGATACAGAAAACAGACTGACAGCTGTAAGAGGGGAAGGAAGTTGGGGGGCTAGAAGAAAAAGGTGAAGGGATTAACAAAAACAAAACAAAACAAAAAAACATAGATACAGAAAACAGACTGACAGCTGTAAGAGGGGAGGGAGTTGGGGGGCTAGAAGAAAAAGGTGAAGGGATTAACTAAAACAAAACAAAACAAAAAAACCTCTTAGACACAGACAACAGCATGGTGATTACCAGAGGGAAAGGGGAGAAGGGGGAAGTAGAAGAGGATAAAGGGTGGATAAATGGTGACGGAAAGAGATTGCCTTGGGTGGTGAACACACAATACAATATACAGATGATGTATTATAGAAGCGCACATTTGAAACCCATATAATTTTATTAATCAATGTCACACCAATAAATTCCATAAAATTTTTTTTTTATATATAATTTTATTAACCAATGTCACACCAATAAATTCCATAAAATTTTTTTTAATTTTTTGATCCTCACCCAAGAATATTTTTTCCATTGATTTTTAGAAAGACTAGAAGGGAGGGATGGAGGGAGAGAGAGAGAGTGAGAGAGAAAGTCGATGTGAGAGAGACACATCCATTGGTTGCCTCCCACACATGCCCCACCAGGGCTGGGGATCAAGCCAGCAACCAAGGTACATGCCCTTGACCTGAACTGAACCCAAGACCCTTCAGTCTGAGGGTCAATATTCTAACCACTGAGCAAAACTGGCTAGGGCCAGATATTTTTAAAAATACGTTTTTAATGATTTTAGAGAGGGAGAGAAAGGGAAAGAGAGATAAAAACTTTGATGCGAGAGAAACATTTATCGCTGTCTCCTGTACACCCCCCCACCCTCCTACTGGGGATTGAGTCCACAACCTGGGCATGTGCCCTGAACAGAAATCAAACCCATGACCTCTTGGTGCATGGACAATGTTCAATGAGCCACAATGGCCAGGCAGGGTCTGTCCAGAATATTTACAAGATGAGTGTAAAATACGTTTTCATGCCAGAAATGAAGTAAGCTATCAAACACTATAGTCGTGTGGTCAAAAGAATTTAGCCCACTTGAGGGGTTCCCACTAGCCAAAGAAGAAACAATTTGAACATCAAAATAATAAATATTATTAAAATCCTTTTTAAATAATATCTTCAATTACATAAAAGATACTCAAAATTTTAAAATCCATGAGTTCATAAACAGACTTAAAAACTTGAAGGACAATAAGGAACTAACTCATTATTCTGAAAACTAAGAAATAAAGGAGAAAACTACACATTTATCCTAATCTTCCTGTATAACTGTACAGATATTTAATGAGGCAAAGTTATTATAAAAGAATTTGTTAGTAAATGTAGAATGAATAATCAAATTATAATATCACCATTTTGAAACTCTAAATGAAATAATGGACCTATGTGATAATCATCAATGGCTGCTAAAACTATTAGCTGAAAAATCCATGAAAAGAATTTATCACAAACTTTATCAGGTTGATAACATCTGAACTCAATAACCAATTATAACATGACAAAAAGAAAGGCAACCAGACAGTATTTGCCTCTTAATGTAATACAACAGGAAGGGAATAATAGCACCTATGAAATCTTTTTGAAAAAAAAAAGGCTTAATCTGGATAGTCTTGTAGATTTAACTACCAATTTACAAGAAATACAGAAGGACATCATAGGAATACAATTTGCAAAACTCAAAATGTGGGAAATTCTATAAAGCAAAAGATGATCAAATCATCAAATGTAATGTGGAGATTTTGTTTAGGTTCTGATTCGAGTAAAAAATGTAAAATAAAATTTATGAGATGATAAAATTTGATACTGAATGGCTCATATTACAGAATTATTGTAAAATTTAAGTTGCATTAATGATACTGTAGTAATGTTTTTAAATACCTTTTATATTATATATATTCATAATTCCAAAAGTTTTATTCTTAAATATTTATTAGTAAAATAACATGGTATCTAGAATTTACTTCAAAAGAATCTAAAGGACTGGAAGATTATATATTAATAATTATTTATGCTATATTACTAATATATTAACTTTTTTTACTAATCTGTTTACTTAACATACGTTGGAATAGTAAGATTGGATATTCCTAGTGAATTAACTAAAACTTAGTATTTCTAACCTCTTGCCTAATCACAGAAATCATTTAGGACTGAAGGCAACTATTGACGGACAGAAGCATAAATAAAGCTAAAAAGAGCAGCTGTGAAAGTACAATGTTGACAGGAACAGAAAACTTCACTGTGATAAGCTTCTAATTGATATATTGGGTAGTTAGACAAGAGCAGAGTAGAAAGGATAGGCCAGGTACAGAAGGTCACCAGGGCCAAAGCTCCGGGTGCCTAGCAACAGACAAAACTGGAAACAGTATTATAGGGTGACCTTTCCTCACCTTGACTATCGCTGGCCATGTGGTTTAGAACTCCTGACTCCTTCATTGTTGCTGATTGCCCAAGAGACAATTTAGTAAAGAAAAAATCTGGAAGTTAGAAGACTGCCAACACCTACCTTTGTAATCTCGGACTCACATAACCTCTGTAGGTCTTTGGAGCATAATAAACAATAGCGGCAATAATAATTGTGTTGAGGGTACTAGCTATAGACTGAGCACTGCATGCATTATCCAATTTAAACCTCACAGCAACCCAAGAAGGTGTGTTGTGGGCACTTGGTGGGCATCAACACATGGCACCATTTTTCACATGAGGAGGTTGAGGCTCAGAGGCCAACAGCTTATGTAAGGTCATGTACTGGAAAGTCTTGGTCCAAGTCATACTCCAATTTTCTTTAACATGAAAGAATGCTTTGAGCTCTCCATTGCATTGGACCTTATCGACTGGTGCAAATTACTGGAAAACTTAAGTCCATTCCACAGATCTCGAGTTTTCCAAGCCAGCACCACACTCCACACATCTCACCTGGAAGACTCACCAACCCTTCACTCACCTCCAGGAAGCCTGTTGTCCTAGCCTGGAACTCCTGTGCGATAGGACTGTCTTCCCCCAAAACCCCACCCCTTCTAGGGTGGCGCACAGCCTTGGACCTTCAAACTACACCTCCCATAAAGCCGTGCGAGGTCACCGGCCCTTTACCGGAAGTCAGGGAGGTTTTATCCGGCTCCGGGAAGAGTAAGTGTGTGTTTTCCAGTCTCCTGATCTATACCGTTTTCTGCTGTTCTGGTCTTCGCTTGGTTAGTAGCGCAGCGGCGAGCCAGGCGGTCGGCCAGGTCTGGGGCTGGGGACCAGTCTCCATGCCTTCTGCCCCTTCCCCACCACCACCACCCCACCCCCCGAATCCCA